TTCCACATATATGAACTTCCTGGAGTACTCAATTCATAGAGTAGAATGGTAGTTGCCAAAGGGTGGGGGATGGGGAAGAGCTGAGAGCTAATGTTTAATGGGGACAGAGTTTCAGTTAGGTAAGATGAAAAAGTTCCGGTCCTGGCCAGGTGGCTCAGTTGGTTAGAGCATCGTCCCAATACGCCAAGGTTGCAGGTCCCATCCCGGGTCAGGGCACATAGAAGAATCAGCCAATGAACGCATACATAAGCAAACAACAATTCTCTCTCTCTCTCTCTCTCTCTCTCTCTCTCTCTCTCTCCAAAAAATCAATAAATGTTAATAAATAAATAAATGTCATCATTTTAATGCCATAGGTAGTATTATCTTATCCTCTTAAAAATTCCTTCTTTCCATGTATGTGTAGTCTAGCTACTAGCCTACCCATTCTTCCTCTATACAGAGAAGCATCAATCATCCAGCGATGGGGGAGGGGCAGAGTTGGCTTTCTTCCTTGCACTTCTCTATTGGTTGAATTTGGGGTAGAGAACACCTATAACTCTCACTTAATCAAATGCAGGCATTTGTTTTAAAACTTGAAAGCTCTACCAGAGAAATGCTCACAGAAATAAAGAATGGCAATACTAGTATCAAACAAAAATGGAATCCAGGCAAACACATTATGAGGAACAAAGAGGTATCTTTCATGTTGATAAAAGGTCCAACTTGCCAAGAAAACATAATGTTCATGAACATTGTGCCTAATGACACAGCTTTGACATATACAAAGCAAAAATAGAACACAAGGAAAATCTGATGAAAAACAAGCATATTGGGAGATAGATTTTTTAAAAATATGTTTTTATTGATTTCAGAGAGGAAAGGAGAGGGAGAGACAGAAACATCCAGGATGAGAGAGAATCATTGATCAGCTGCCTCCTGTGCCCATCCTACTGGTGATCAAGCCTGAAATCTGGACTTGTACCCTGATTGGAATCAAACTGTGACGCTCAACCTCTGAGCACACCGGCCGGGCAGGAGATAGATTTTAACAAATCTACCTCAGAAATCAACCTTTGTGAAGGTGACAAAACTAAATAAGAATGTGTATTGTTTCCATAATAACATAAATAAACTTAATCTAATAGGTATATGTAGAATTCTGTATGGAAGAAATAGAATATACATTTTTTTCCAAATACACTAAACATGCTAAGAAATATGAATATTCATTAGGCCAAGAAATCGCAACACATTTCACCACCCCCCAGGAAACCCACACAAAAGCAAAACACACACCAGGTAGCACACAAACCACATTCATGAAGCATCATAAGAAATTCACAATAAGGTGCTTATTTGAGAGAGTTCTGCTGGAAGCTCTGGGTGTCAGACCTTCACTCCAAACTCCAGGTGGGCCCCTCACCAGAGTCCTGTGACTCTGGAAAGGCCCTTAACCTCCCTCAGCCTCTGTGTCCTCGCTGTAAAGCGGGGAGAAGGAAAGAATCTTTCCCTCCAGAAAGATTAGCTCTTCCCCAAACATTAAACTCAATAAATGTGAGTCCCTCCCTTGAGGAAACACGTTAACTAAGTCTGGGTGCAAAAGGTCATGGCTGGTATCAATTCACAAATCCAGAGTGGTAAACTGAGGCACCAGGGGGCCAGGTCAGAGTGCAGTCACCAAATCTCGATGCTCCCCACCTTCTAGGTCCTGTCTCTCCCCAGACCCGCCCCCTCACTGGAAGGAGCCCTAGGGGGAGGACAGGCTCTTACCACTGCAGGTCACGCAGGCTGTGCACCGGTTGGCCCTGTCCAGGTAGTAGTCCTGCTGGCACTGCTTCCTGCAGCCGGATGGCCCCTGCGGGCACAGATGCTGTGGGGAGGACCCTGGAAAAGAATCGGAGAAGCTCCAGGCCAGGCCACCTTGGCAAACTCTCAGGGGCACCCCTTCCACTCTCATCCCCAAAGCCCTTCCCAGCAACACTCCTAAACCCCCCAACATCTCAGCGCAACTCATGACGGAGGCGTTGATGCCCAAGAGGGCAGGCCTTGCCTCTGGTCACCTGGCAGGCAGAGCAGCACGGGTCAGGGAGAAGAGCTGGGCCTGGATTCCAGGGCTGCCACATGCTAAGCGGGTAGCCTTGGCCAAGTGACCGTGACCGCAGGGGTACTACGTTAATAACCGGATGCACCTCCTAGGGTCGTTGAAAGGAGTAAAGGGACTGTGAAGACAAGCATGCGTAGTCCAGGCATACAGCAGGCACTGGGCGAGCACAGTTTGGGGTTTGTTTTTTACTATATTTTTATTGATTTCAGGGAGGAAGGGAGAGGGGGAGAGAGATAGAAACATCACTGATGAGAGAGAATCATTGATTGACTGCCTCCTGCACGCCCACACTGGGGATCAAGCCCGCAACCTGGGCATGTGCCCCGACTGGGAATCGAACCGTGACCTCCTGGTTCATAGGCTGACAATCACTAAGCCACGCTGGCTGGGCAGGAGTACTGTCCTGTTCTTATTATTCCTGGGGTCCCCTGCACTGTGGGAACTGGGGAGCCATAGTCCTAATCCAGCCTGACTAAGAGGCTGGCAAAGCACCCAGGAGTCCCTGATGGGAGAGGCATGATGCTGAAACCAAATGCATGGGGCAAATGCGTTGGGAAAGTCCTGGATGTTCACTGGGTGTTCACCTGTCCTGCCCCACTTTATGTCTGCGAGTTCTAGCCGGGATGTCTCCCACAGCCCTTCAACTGAGCACGTGACCCAGGCAGGCCAATCAGAATGCTTCATCCTTGAGGATAGACACATGATCCAGGCAGACCAATCAGAATGCTTCATCCTTGAGGATGGACACATGACCCAGGCAGACCAATCAGAATACTTCATCCTTTGCAATTAGCACGTGACCCAGGCAGGCCAATCAGAATGCATCTTCTTCAACACTGTGATTGGTTCATGGGACCCATGCCAGCCAATGAGCCCATCTCTGAGTTTCACAAAAGCTACTGGAAAAGAGCCCCCTCTTTACTGTTTCCTGGTTCAAAGGGCACTTTGGGCCAGAGCTGCCCTGTCCTGGCTGCTGCAGCTTGGGCTGTCCACCTGAGAAGGAGGTGACTCAGAGGCCAAGAGAGGCCACAGACGCGGAGAAATGGACTCCCGATGACGTCATTCAAACCCGAATCTATGGCGCCGTGGATTTCTCTGTCATTGAGCCCAATGTTTCTCTTTTGTCTGGTTTGGACCTGAGTCAGGCTTCTGTTAGTTACAACCAAAAGGCTCCAGACCAGGGTTCTCAGCATTGCCTGGGCCCATTAGTCACTAGGGGGCGCCTGTGGACACTGCTCAGAATGATGCTTTCAGTGCACAGAATTCGAGGCCGAGTGACTCATTGGGGGTGGGATTTTCCCGCTCAACTCACAGCTACTGAGCTGCCGGGCGGGCGCAGGCACTGATTGAGAGACTGGAGATGAGGCCCTGCTCCCAGGGAGCTCACCCTCCAGCGGGGGGAAGAGAGGGCAGCGAGTCACATGGAAATCAGCACGTTCGCTTCCAACGTGGATACAAACTGAAGAGAGGAGAGCAGGAGCGGGGGAGCAGGGGGAGCAGGGGCGGGGCGGGGGCAGGGGTGGGGTGCAGCAGGGTTGGAAAGGGAGCCCTCGGTCTGGTGGCCCCACCCGGCCCTCAGGACGCAAGGAGGCTGCAGAGAGGTTCCAGGCAGCGGGCACTGGGCGGGCAAAGGCCCCGAGGGAGGCCCAGCTCGGCCTGAGCAGAGAACAGAAAGGCCGCAGGGCTGGAGCAGATGGAGCCAAAGCGTGATGAGTGTTGACTCATTTCTCTTCTCTTCTTTCCCGTATTCCACAGAGGTCTTCTCCGCTATCACTTTCACAATCAGAAACAGGGGTTCAGAGAGGCTGCGAGCTGCGGTGTCGCTCTCAGAATTGGTTCCCAAGTGTCCTCTGTCCCCCTCCGCCTCCAGCCACCTCTGCTCCGGCCTCTGATCAGCGGCTTCTGACTCCAAATGTCTGTCTGTCCTAACATTTCCGTCACCGCTCTCACCTCTGGCTGAGCTTTGGGGCGGCCAGGCAACCCCAGCTGCTGGGGCCCCAGAAACTGCCCTGAGTCTGGGCTGCAGGCCCCTCTCCCCTCCCCTCCCCTCCCCTTCAGGCCCTGTGCTTCTGCCACATGAAACCCACCCAGCCCTTGAGTGCCCTCCCCCTTGCTCACTCCAGGCCTTGGCATCCTCCATGCCCTCTGACCAGAGCCCTCCTCCCTCCTCCCACCGTGACCTGGCACAGCCCTCAGGACTCCTTGGGATGCCAGCTCCTCAAGGAAGCCCCCCTGAATGTTCCAACCAGGCCAGGTCCCCCGGGAGCATGTTCCCACAACTCCCAGCAGCACCGCCCTAGATGCTAACAGCCTGTCACAAGGGCTTCCCAGCCCACAGGCCCCCCTTCTTGGGGAGCCGCCCCCGTCCCACCTCTGCCCCTGGCAGTGGCCCAGGGCAGTCCCGGCTCGGGGACCGAGCGGAGGTGAACATCTGGACTCACTGGAGCCCTCAGTTGCTTTGTCCTTGGCTTTGGAGTTGGGGGTGAAAGATGTTTGCCTGGTGTTTCTCCTGTTTCCCTGGAGAACTGCAGGCGCGGAGGGGAACTGTGGGCCAGCCAGGCTTGGCCAGGGGCAGGGCGGCCTCCCCTCCTCCCTGCTCGCCGCCCTGGCAGAAACCCTCGGCTCCTGGCACAAGGTGGGACACACTGCCTTGGCCCCCATCACCCCGTGCTCTCCAGCTGGCACCAGGCCTGGCTTCACACGGCCCCCCCATACCTGGGCAGGGAGGTCCCTCCCTGCAGGCAGCGGCTCTGGGCCCAGGCAGGAGGCTGATCCCGGAAGCAGGGTGCAGAGTAAGTGAGGGGTTTGGGCTCTTCTCGGATACGCTCTGCTGCCTCCCAAATGCAAGGCCATGGGGGTCAGCACCAAATAAGATGGAAGGGCTTGGGGTCCCGAGTTAGACGGCCACATGCGAGCCCCACCTGAGCCACTTACTGGCCTGGGACCACGGACAAACCCCTGAGCGGCACCGTGTTCCCCATCCGGTTCAGTGAGCTCATATGTAGGCAAAGGGCTCAGCACAGTGGCTGGCACGGAGCACGCTCCATCCATGTAAATCACGGCCACTGTGCTGAAGCAGTGAGTGAGCGCCCCGTCACCGGGGGTGTGTAAGCAGAGGGCTGGGGATCGGCTGTCAGGGATGCTGGAAAGGGCTTTAGAGGCCTGGGCCAGAGGAGGGGTTCGGTGACATCTGACTTCTCAATTTCAAAGGTCCCCTGTTTCCTTCCTCCGCCAGCCGCCCCCGCGCCCTGCCACACAGCTGAGCGCCGATGGCGGAGGGAGGGCGGCAAAATGTCAGAAATTTCCCCGACACACGGAGGAAGGGGTTTTTGCGGGTTTTTCGTTTTTCCTCTCTTGTCTGCCCGGAAGCACAAGGTCAATAAAACTCCGCCAAAATGCCCCGCCCACCACAGCAGCACGAGGTGCTCAGCCACCCCCAGTCACTGCAGGGCCGCGGGCGGGAGGTCATAGTGTCTCAGTGGAGGGAGGCTGGGACCGGATGCCTCTCTCCCACCCGCTCTCTGGCAAGGCCCCACCAGGCTGGGGTCACGGGAGCCGGAGGATGTGGGAAGTGTCTGCCTTTCTCGTGCAGCTGGGATCGTGTCTGCTTCTCTCGGTCCTCCGGTGGCCTGAGCATGGGCTCCTTTGGCCCTCGTGGTCTGGGAACAGATGGACCAGGGTTCCTGCCCAGCTCAGGCCATCGATCCCCAGTGACCTGTGCATTGTGGCCTGTCACCCTCCAGACGGCAACCTTGGAGGCCGAGAGGATGGGCGTCCAGGCCCGGAAATGAAGGGCGGTCAGGGGATATCCACAGCTTGACTCTGGGGTCACAGAACCCTGGCTCCAGCCCAGCCAGTTCTTCCATTTCCCAGTTCGTGACCTTGGGCAAGTTCCTTAACCTTGCAGCACCCCCATAGCCTCATCTGCAAAATGGGAATCCTAAAGGATCATTGTGAGGATCTGATGAGACGCAGCAATGCATGTGACGGTCTCGGCCTAGTGCACATATAGAACATGCTCTATGAGGGGCAGCTGTTCATTAAAAACAAGAATTCACAGCCCGGCCGGCGTGGCTCAGTGGTTGAGCGTCAACCTATGAATCAAAAGGTCACGGCTCAATTCCCGGTCATGGCATATGCCCAGGTTGCAGGCTCAGTCCCCAGTGTGGGGTGTGCAGGAGGCAGCCGATCAATGATTCTCTCTCATCATTGATGTTTCTATCTCTTTCTCCCTCTCCCTTCCCCTCTGAAATCAATATATATAACAAGAACTCATGACGGTATGGCCTTTAGAACCGACAGTCAACATGACAATGACGACGTTGGCTCCCATCTTGCCCACACCCCAATCCCCCCTGCCCCAGCCCCAGCACCCCACTCACCCTCAGGGCAGCGGTAACAGCACCTCTTGGCAGCCTTGACATAGTGGCGGTTGGGGTCTCCAGCACAGGAGTCCGTGGGGGCTCGACCCTGGAGGGTAAGACAAACTGGTGAGGCCTGATGGGTCCCAGACACCCATCTTCCCTCCAGACCAGTGGTTCTCAACCTTCCTAATGCCGCGACCCTTTAATACAGTTCCTCATGTTGTGGTGACCCCCAACCATAAAATTATTTTCGTTGCTACTTCATAACTGTAATGTTGCTACTGTTATGAATCGTCATGTAAATATCTGATATCCAGGATGTATTTTCATTGTTACAAATTGGACATAAAGCATAGTGATTAATCACAAAAACAATATGTAATTATATATGTGTTTTCCGATGGTCTTAGGTGACCCCTGTGAAAGGGGTCGCGACCCACAGGTTGAGAACCGCTGCTCCAGGCCCTCGGGTCCCAGAAGGCCAGGTCTCCACTCACTGTCAAGGCCAGGCCTGAGACCAAGCCTCACGTTACCAAAGGCACAGAAACACCTGTTCTCACATCTCCTCGAACCCCAGCCTCCATAACTCAAGACTCCCCGGTTGAGCTTCAACTTATGAACCAGGAGATCACAGTTCAATTCCCGGTCAGGGCCCCTGCCAGGGTTACCAGCTCGATTCCCAGTGTGGGGCGAGCGGGAGGCAGCCGATCAATGGTTCTCTCTCATCATTGATGTTTCTAACTCTCTCCCTCTCTCTGAAATCAATAAAAATATATTTTGAAAAAGAGAGAGAGAGGAAAGTCTTGCTGCGACTTTGGGGAAGGACTTCTGTCCTTCCTGGTAGAATGAAAGGGGGGCATGAAGCAGGTTTCTGGGTTGACCCACAACCAGGAGCTCCAGGAAGGGAGGGTCGGGGAGGGGAGAAGACCAGGTGGGAGGGAGCCTGACCCACCAGGGTACCTACAGCAGCCCCGATGGTGCCTGACAGACAGGAGGGGGCCACCTATGGGATGTGTGGGGTGGGGCCCTCTTGATTCCCAGAAGAAAAGCAGAAGCCATTTATCCCCACCCCAGAGGCCTGGCTGCCTAAGGGGCTTCTCTGCTCTTCTCTCCACTCAAGGGAAGAGTGAAAAATGAATACATTTTTCTATTAAGGTCAGAGAGCAGCCAGGAGGCCCGTGTAACAGGAGGTGGGTGGGTACGTGGAGCGTGCATAACATTCTTCTCTTTTTGCTCACCTGAAACATCACCACATAAATCTGAAATAATAAATATAACCTGATGTTTGCACACCTCCAGGCACCAGCTTTGCCCGTGCACGCCCAGCCTCCTCCCTCCAGTGAACCAGGCTGCTGGGCCTCTCCAGGGGCAGGGACCTGCTGGGACCACCTAGGTCCTCCTCCCTGGCCCAAAGCATCCACCAAGTGAGCCTGGAAGCCTATGGGTGGCTGGGCCGGGGGTGAGGGTTCAGCCCTGCTGGGCCTGCTGAGTGCGGGGAAATTTCTGGGTCCTGGGCCTGGGCTTTCCCCGCCTAGCCTGCCTGCTCATCTCATCAACAGCTATGGGCTCCCCAGGTCCCGGGGACAGAGGAGGGGAGCCTGGCTGCCCTTCACCTCCTGCCGCCACACCCCAGGCCATCGGAGGGGTGTAAGGGGCAGAGAACAGGGAACTCACTGTTATCTAGTATCACGACCCCCGTCACACATCTCCCTCTGGGGCCAGATCACCACCCCATGTCACAGGTGAGGAAACTGCACCCAAAGCCACACAGCAACTAAGGGCAGAGAGGGCATTGGAGCTTCCCTGTGTTCCCAGTTCTCTCCCCGTCTCTGGGTCACAGGCTTCCCCCATCTATATACATATAAGCCTAAGTAACCACCGCAACCGAATGGACAACCAAACAGGCTGCGTGGGGCGACCAGGCCAGCAGGGGCTCAGTGAGGGGCAACCAAATGACCAAGCAGCAGGCTGCATGGGGCGGCCAGGCCCACAGGGGAGGCAGTTGGGGCGACCATGCCAGCGGTGGTGGGGGGGCCAGTAAGGGGTGACCAGGCAGGCAGGCAGGTGAGCAGTTAGGAGCCAGTGGTCCCAGATTATGAGAGGGATGTCTGACTGCCAGTTTAGGCCCAATCCTAGGCAGTTGGACAACCCCCCAGGGGTCCCAGATTGAAGAGGGTGCAGGCTGGGCTGAGGGGACACCCCCCCTGCCCCGTGCATGAATTTCATGCACCGGGCCTCTAGTCCTATATAATAAAAGCCTAATATGCAAATAGACCGAACAACAGAACAACTGGTTCCTATGATGCGCACTGACCACCAGGGGGCAGGTGCTCAATGCAGGAGCTGCCCCCAGCCCACAGGCCCTAGGCCAGCCAAGGTGGGTGCCAGCAGGGGGCCCCCCCGGATCACCCCGCCAGTCATCCCACAGATTGGCACTAATCACCGGCCACGCCTAGGGACCCTACCCGTTCATGAATTTCATGCACTGGGCCTCTAGTTTTAAATAAAAATGCCCTAAGAAGGGCCGATCGTATCTGTGGTCTTTCTACCAAAAGTCCATAGTCCGAACGAAATCATGAGGAAACATCAGATAAAGCCAAACTGAAGGCCTTTCTACAAAACAACTAGCCTGGACTCTTTAAAAATGCCAACGATGAAACAAAGAAGAGCTGTAGAAAGTTCCAGAATAAAGGAGACTAGAGAGACGGGACAACTAAACACAATGTCTGGGCTGGACCCCGAGTCGAGGCGGAAGGCAGGGATCGCTGTAAAGGGGAATTGGAGGTGCTGACGAAATGTGAACGAGGACTTTATGTCTGATTATGTTGTACCCATGTCCAATGCCTGAACGTGGACTTAAGGCAGAGATGCCCTTGTTGGAGAAGATGCTGCTGTGTTTAGGGTGAAGGATCAAAATGTCTGCAACAAACTTGCAAATGGATCAGTAAAATATAATAATAATAATAATAATAATAATAATAATGTATATACATAAAGAGAGAGAAATAAAACAATTGTATAAAACCACAAATAAATAGCTCAACAATAAGTCTGTGTCAGGCCATGGCTTGCCACCAGGGGGAGCTGTCTTCCTGCTGTCCAGAGGGGCAATTGTAGCCCATCAGAGCCCCACCAAGGGAGTAGAGGACCGGGGGCCTCCGTTTCATATGGGGCTTATGGGGAAGGGGCTACTCCCCTAAACCTATGGCGGTGCTGGACCCCAGCTCCCCCAGACATTCCTAGAGATGTAGGTGGGGTTGAGGTGGGGCCATCACTCGGCCCCACCCTCCACCCCACTCCCACTGGGCTGGCCTTCTCTGGCAGAGACACTGGGGAATTTTTTGTTGTTGTCTATGATGTCATCGCTTTACAGGCACCCAGAAAATGGGGTCAGTGCAATGCATGTAGACGTGGCAACAGCAGTTACTGAACCCACAGCCCCGTGAGACCCTGTTGCCATGGAAGCCAGTCTGTGAGGTGAAAGACCCGCCCAAGCTCACACTTTGTGGCGGGTCAGGAGCTGAGTCCAGGTCAGCTGACTCCTGACCACCACACAAGCGCATGGAGCACCTACTGTGTGCCAGAGAGCTGGGTGGGCCCCGAGCGCCCTCCAGGAGCTGCGGCTCCAGCGGGGAGGCCACCCCACCTGCCCAGGGTATTCCCGGGTCGTAAGTAGAAAGAGGTGGCGCCTGGGGACCTGAGCTTCGCCCTTGCAGCACTGTCTGTGGTCCCCAAGACCTGGTCCAGTCTCATGCCCCAGGCACAGCGCTCACCCCCAGCTCCGTTCATCACTCTCTCTGCCTTCTCTCCCATCTTCCCCACTGCCCCACCCCCATGGTCTCCCACTGCCCACTCACAGGGGCCCCTCACCCACCCCAGCTCCTGGCAGAGAGGGCAGCAGCCTGGGCATCTATGTTGGCGGCAGCCCAGGAAGTCTGACCTCCTGAGTTTCAAGGGCCCCACCAGTTGCCACTGGCCATGGGCCCAGCCCCTGGACAGCCCATCAGCTCCCGCTGCCCCTGGGGAAGGTGGAGACACAGCTGGGCTGGCTCTGGCCATGGCCTGGGAGGGAAGCGGGGACAGAACGGGGAGAGTGGGAGGGGGAAGCCCGAGGCCTGGAAGGGGGGCTTTTGGGTGGGGTTCCCCGGCAGGTTCGAGGCAGAGCAAGGTGTCCGCAGAGATGAGCTGTGCAACCAAAGGCCTGTGGCTCAACCTTCGTGGCATCAAGATAAAGAGAGAGTGGCCTGAAACCTTCCCATTTCTAGGCCTGTCTAGTTTCAGGCGGTTTGGTTTTCCCTATAAAACCTGGTAAATATCACTTTCAGAAAGCCCCACCTGCTCAGCGTGGAGGGGGATGGGGGCTGGGCCACACCTGTAGCAGCGGAGCGTCTACGGCGGGGAGGGGACGCTGGGGTGGAAGAGTACAATCAAACACAAAATATCCGAAGGGGCCAGAGCTGGGCAGAGCTGGGAGGGGCACCCCAAATCCAGCCTGAGGGGCCCTCACCTCTGTTACTCAAGGTGAGGAACCTGGGCCAGCAGCACTGGCATCCCTTGTGAACTTGCTCAAAATGCAGAATCCTGCCGAAACCGGTTTGGCTCAGTGGATAGAGCATCGGCCTGCGGACTGAGAGGTCCCGGGTTCGATTCCGGTTAAGGGCATGTACCTGGGTTGCGGGCACATCCCCGGTGGGGGATGTGCAGGAGGCAGCTGATCGATGTTTCTCTCTCATCGATGTTTCTAATTCTCTCCATCTCTAACCTGGGCCAGCAGCACTGGCATAAAATATATTTTTTAAAAAATGCAGAATCCCAGGCCCCACCCTATACCTACCATCCACCCCATTTTACAGATGGGGAAACTGAGGCACAGAGAGGTCAGGAAACTTGCCTAAGTCACACAGCCAGGCAGCGTGAGAGCCTGGGTCGTCTTGCACTGCCTCTCACCCACCAGGCTCTCCTGTCCAGTTCTGCCCTCGAATCCACCAGCTCCTCCTCACCTCCCTACCACCTGGTCTGGACAGCGGCCGTCTAAGGGCCTTCTCACACCCACCCATCCCCCATAGCCCACTCACAGTGCGACGCCAGAGGGACCTTTTCACAACACACATCTGCTCCCCTCCCCTCCCCTCCCCCATGGAAGACACTCAGATGGCTTCAACCCAACTAGGCCTGAAGCCCAGCGTCCTGACGATGGCCCAAGAGACCCGGCCCCTGGCGCTGGCTCACCTGGCCTGTGCCTCCTCTGGCGCCTGTCCCCCCAGCCTTCCTCCCACCCCCACGTACACCCCCTCCCTCCCTGCCTCCCTCCAGCAGCCTTGCACACGCTGTTCCCCGGACCACCCCATTCCCCTCGTCCAGAACACCCCAACACATCCTTGAGGCCTCACCCATGCAAGCCTCCTCCTCAGCACCCCTCCCAGGCCACCATCCAGGTCAGGTCTCAGCAGGTTAGGTCAAGGGGTGGGCAGGGCTGGGTCCTTGTGGGAGCCTCTAGGGGAGAGTCCATTTCCTTGTGGTTCTCACTGAGGCCCTGTCTCTTTTGTTGTCTTTCCCAGCTCCTCCAGGCTGCCACAGGGCCTCCCTTTGCTTGGCTCAGGGCCCCTGCCTCCACCTGCAAAGCCCGCAACGGTGGCTCGAGTCCTGCCCATCCCTCTCTTCCGTGTCATCCGCTGTGACACGGCCAGAAAGTTCTCCACGTTCAAGGGCTCCTGTGGGGACAGCGGGTCCACCTGGGTGATCCAGGCCAATCTCCCAGCTCAAGGGCCGCACCCTTAGTCGCATCTACAAAGTCCCCTTTTCCAGCCCAGCCGGGGTGGCTCAGCGGTTGAGTGTCAACCCAGGAACTAAGTGGTCACCGGTTCGATTCCCGGTCAGGGCACATTGGGGTTGCGGGCTTGATCCCCAGTGGGGGGCGCGCAGGAGGCATCTGATGGATGGTTTCCTCTCTCGTTGAAGTTTCTCTCTCTCTATCCCTCTCCCTTCCTCTCTCTCTAAAAATAAAATAAAAAATAAATATTTTAAAATCCCCTTTTCCAGACAAGGTGACATATTCACAGGTTCCCAGGATTAGGATGTGGACATCTTAAAGGGCCATTGTCCTGTAGGTCACAGCCCACTCATCAATAACCACTGGACTGGGGTTTGTCACCTAGTCCTGGGGTCCCTGAACCCCACTCTCCACTCCAAGGGCCCACCTGAGCTCCAGACAAAGAGACACCTGAAATGAAGTCATCCTCCTCCCACT